AGCCACCATTGGCAAAAATCTGTTAACTTTGTCGATAATTTTTTTGGCAATTGGAAGCCCAACAAAAAGAGGTTTTCTTTATATATATATATATCACTACAAAAAAGACTCTTACATTCCAACGGAAATTTTCCGTTGGAATTCTTTATATTTTCCGTTGGAATAGCTATTCCAACGGATATTCCTACGTATAAAAATTCGTGGGAAAAACGGCCGTTGGAATGGCTAAAATCCAACGGAAAATCCTATGGAAATAAATTCCAACAACTATTCCAATGGAGAAAATCCATTGGAATTCTTCAACCATCCAACACTTATTTCAACATAAAATTATGTTTGTTGGAATATTCATTGGAATTTCCAACGGAAATTTTTGCCGTTGGATTTTTCATTGGAATTGAAGTGTTTTATTGCAGTGTATATTTCATAAAAATCCAACGATAAAATCTTTGATACCACTCATGACGCCAGCATAGTGCTTTTCTCCTATGTTCTAATAAGCGGTCCTTGGTTAGAGGGCGCGGTGGTCGGCGGTCTGCAGAGAATATTAATTTGTAATTACTTAAAAATTACTATTGTAACAGTTTTGGTTAGTTTTTAGTGAAAAAAAAAAATAAAAGCTATTAACTAAAGTTGAGTATCAAACATAACATTGTATAAAACTTGATTAAATTGAAACATATGCACTTAAAAAAAAAATAGTACAATTTGAGTATCAAAAGCGAACTTTTTTCATGTTTCCATAAAAACTCAAATATAATCAAACAGTTGTTTTGGTTACAAACAAAGTCTTTAGCCCGAGTTTTGACTCGAGCTCCTACGCATGCTCGTGAACGGCTCAACCCATTTGCTCCCTCCTAGATCTTTAAATGAGCCAAGTTGAGCTAGAGCTTAGGCTGCTCGAGCTCGAGCCCTTAACGAGTCGAACCGAGCTCGATACCTTTAACGAGCCAGAAATCGAGTTCGAGCTCGGCTCGTTTACGTCTCAAGATCGAGCCTTAACGAGCTGAACTATAAAAAATTATATAAATATTTTCTTTTCCAGCCTGAGTCCGAGCTTTTAACGAGCTTGAGCTCGAGCCGATCCGAGTTAAACTCGTTTAATTTGACAGCACTACTCCCCTACCTTTGACCTCACCTATATGGAGGACCCTATTTATCAACTTTCAAAATTGAAGAAGACATGTGTGTAAATGTGTGGGCAATAACTACACCCAAACCTACTCCAAATACTCTCTTCATTTGCCTACTTGGCCAATACAAACTATCTCCTCAACTGCCATCCACTTTTTTCCTCTCTCTCTCTCTCTCTTATTTAATGGATCTACGACCCTTTTCACTCACCCACCATCTCCATTTATATACTCTCCACTTTTGTTTTTTTTTTTCTCTCACCCAAAAAAAATTACAAAAAGGACTTCAAAATGAAACCCACAAATCTCACTCTGCTCCTAACCATCCTGCTGCTGGCAACGGCCGCCGTGACCATCGCGACCCGACCCGACCCCGACGGGTCGGCCCAGCAGAAGAAAACGTCCAGTAAAGGTGGCGCGAACGACGTCCCCGGGATGGGCGGGTTCTTCGGGCCAGGAGGCGGGTTCAACGTACCCGGGTTCGGGCCGGTGGCCGGCGGAGGGTACGGATCCGGGTTCGGCGGCCCGACCGGCGGTCGGTCCAAGAGCGGCATCGTGAGGAACCCCGTCACGTGCACGGAAAAAGGCCCGTGTTACAAAAAGAAGCTTATCTGCCCGAAAAAGTGCTTCACGGCGTACGGCGGGTCGGGGAAGGGCTATGGCTACGGCGGCGGTGGCGGCAGCTGCAACATCGACTGCAAGAAATGTAGGGCCACTTGCTGAGGCTAATTATTATTATTGTTATTATGAATATTATATAATATAAAATATGGTTGTCGCTGTTGATGCTATGTACTGCTGCTTAAGTCGTAAACATAGTGTACGTACGTTAAAATTATGGTGATTATTCCACTGTTGGTTGCCTTTTGGGTTTGTTTCTTGTGCGGACAGACTTTGGAAACGCGGCGTTGTTTTTTTTGGGGGTTTTTATATGAAACTCTGTGGTGATGTGGTGTTGAGACTTGAGACATATGTACGGTATGTAAGAATAACTTGCCTGTTGTTTATCAGTATCTTACTATAAGTTTGGTTTATCCTTTCCGTTTAATCTGGCTGTTTATTAATTTTTTTTACTGTTTTTGCACTTCCCTTGCACTATTAGTGTTGATTTTACTAGAGGGAGATGCTAAGTTCCGGATCCATTCTGTCGAGATTTACAATCGTTGGATTAACTATTCCCGACAATCGTTGGATTAACTATTCCCGATAATTACATGATGATTTGAGTTAAAGTATATAGACACACAAATATATATGGCTTCAGTTGCCACCTCAATTAGTGGCTAACAATTTAGTGCGCCTCAGCTTTAATTTGCTGCCTTAAAAGACATGGTTTTTTTTTATACAATAAAAAACGTCTCAGAGTGAAAGGGAGATTAGGCCTGTTATCCGACCTATGCAGGGACCAAATCTCCAATTTTGGGATGGAAGTGTTGGAAAAATAAGTTATAAAATTTGATTTTGACTTGGTTTTTATGGCTAAGTATTTAATATAGGTTGAATTAAATTGTGTAGAAAAATTTTATGTTCCGAGTAGATACTCGTGGTATATTTATTTTTTTTCAAACTAATTTTTGGTGAGCGAGAAATAAATGATTAAAATTAGTCATAAATGGGTAAGAAAAAGATGGTTGTGGAATTCGAAAGGTCAAAAATTCTTCTCACATTGGGCCATTAAATGATATTAACTCTTTTTATTGTAATAAATTAAGAGAGTCAAAGAGCTCACAATAACAACAACAAAACAATGCACCAAGCGTTTGTATTGGCTTCGGCCACATGCGTGCGCGTCCGCCCCGCCGGCCGGCTCGGCTTCAGGCATGGACCTGGGTCTTGGGCCTTGGTCCTAAGCAATTGGACCCTGAGCTGGACTTGGGTAGCCTTGGACGGTATTGGGCTTAAGCCTTGGTCGTTGGGCCAAGCTCCAAATGATTCGTGAACCTTCAGCCCGTTGGGCCAGGCTCCAAATCGCGTGGTCGACGTTGGCCACGTCTATTTAGACTTGGCCACGAATTGGCCCAGCCCGACGGGTCGACCTGACTCGAAAATGATCTGAAATCAAGCCGTGGTGAACGGGCCTTGAATGGAGCCCATGCTTTAAATGGGCCACTTTCGGATCACGAATTTGTAATTTTTGAACACCGGACTGGTTCTAAATTGAAATCGGCCCAGTGGTCTGAATAATTTTTTAGTTTTATTTTAATTGAACCGGGCCGAAACTGACGGTTCATTCAATCGGCCGAAACCGATGGTTTAGTGAATTGGCCCGTGCATAAGCTCGGGCCGGTTTAGGACCCTCCAAACCCTGGTCCGGAACCAGCCCAAAACTGGGGTTTGGCCACGTCTACGTCTAGTGATAACAAATGTTCATTTTATGTTAATTTATAGTCCGTGGTAAAACTTGTGCTCAATTTTACACTCGCAGTTGATTTACACCATTTGAGTAGAGAATAAATGTTGGGCTAAAGGACAAAGCAATTCTCAACTTAATAGGAATGAATAATAGATTTAGCACAAAAGTATGAACGCGAGAGAAGAATGGATATAGGCCCATGGATTGTTATAATTATGGTAGTCGTCTAGAAGAGTACTATAAGCCCAAAAACTTGTTCTTTGATATATTTGGGAAAATTATCTCAATTTTTAATGGAATTGTAGAAGCAATTCTAATGGATATTTCAATATTATTATTCTGTTGAAATCTTTTGATGCATTCCAAATAAAAATTACAATAAAAATATTCCGTTGAAATGAATTTTTCATTGAAAGTTTTGTTGGATTTTGATTATTCCAATTGTATATTTCCAACAGGTAAAACATGGGTGGACATAAAAATTTCAATGATTATTGAATATTTCAACAGTAAAAAATCGTTAGAAAAATAGTTATTGGAATCATGAATTTCATTTCAACCAATGGAAAATTTATTACAACGAAATATTTAGAATAATTTCAACAAAAATTATACTATTAAAGTATCTGTTGGAATTTTAATTTTAATATATTGCCTCGTGATTTTTCATTGTTTTTGTAAGATGGATTTTATGAACTAGTTATGCAATGCTCTCACTCTTTTGGATTTTTGTCATTGGAATTAAATAAATAAAAGAATCCTAGATTCTGCCCTAGCTACTGAACTCAACGTGATAATCTATCTTTGGACACTACGAGCATGTTTGTTTATAAGATTTTTTAAAAAAATTCTAACATTTCAACTCAACCACTTTTTTAACTCAATGTAATAATAATAATAATAATAATAATAATAATAATAATAATAATAATAATAATAATAATAATAATAATAAAGTCTTAGATATTTGAGGTTGGGCAATCAGCAAGTTATATTATAATATTACTATGAGATATTAAATCCTACGGGAGGGGCTACCAAAATAACAACAAATGAATTGTATTGTTAAAATACACAACTGGTATTGGTTTGACATATATACATGAATTAACTCCATGTAATTATAATTGAATTATGATCTCAAATCCTCAATAGTAATTTTGCGGCAAAATTTCGAAAATAGTTCATTATGTTGGTCTCTTTTCGAAAAAGGTCAATCACATAGGACGTCATGAAAAATGATGCACTAAATTGACATTTTGATCAAATCCGTGCAAAAACTAAGATATTGTACCAAAAGTGAATGCCATTTTTAGTACATTATGTTGACTTTTATACGAATTTTGATTAAATGTGGCAAATTAGTAGACCATTTTTTATGGCACCCTACATGATGGCCTTTTTTGGAAAATGACCAAGATAGCGTACGAAAAATGTAATTTAGCCGAAATTTTGCACTTACATTTTACAAAACTACTTTTTTTTTTTCTTTTATAATGTTGAATTTTGATAAATTCTCGGTATAAAATGTTCATTTGTCATTTTTTTTTTCCCACAATTTAATTGTTGTTGAAACTTATTTTTGGCAACATTGTTTTCTTAGAAACATTTTGACACGATATATTATTTTATTTTGAAGTAGTGATTTCTCATAATTAAACATGAATATCTTTTAAATTACCATGAGCATTTTTCCAATGTGCTAAGTCATTATACAAAATGACAATTAATATACAGTAGTAATTGATACATTTATATTGTTCATTTTTTTTGTTCAACATTCTATGGGTTAATAAAGCACCAAAAAAGCAACAAACTCTTGTGATAGTTTGTGGCTATAGCCAAATAAACTAGTTTATTTGGTTAACTTATAAGCTTCATATATTCAAATAAGACTCGTTTGGTAGGACGACATTTTTTAAAAAATTCGAGTTTATCTCACAAGCTTCTTTAGGTAATGATATACGATATTATACTGGACCCGGTTTATGGATTAAGCGGATACATATTGGAGGATAAACCCACTAAGGCATCTAAGCCCAACGATAGGGGTCAAGCCTAACTTGGGCCCAAAAAGGTACACTCCCCCTATAAAAGGGGGCCAAGGTACCTCATTCTCTGACTCTCTCTACTCATTTTGATGACTACACTTTCTCCCTCTCTTTGGATGGAGCACTGACTTAGGCATCAGAGGCCCGACGCCGGGGCCACCCCCGACGTTGGGTTCTTGCAAGTACGGAGGCCGGTCGAGTTGGAGGAGCCCGGGTGAAATCTATTTCACTTTATTGGCGCCGTCTGTGGGACCCGTCAAAAAGTCAAGCGGAGTTCCCATTACAAACTTTCGAAAATATCCTTCTTCTCCACCGGCCACCGCCACCGCCGGCCGCCGCCGCCGTCGGTCGCCGGAAAACGTGTTCCGATCTGAAAATGGTTGGCATCATCGGATAGATCTCGTCAAGATGAAGCTACCCTTAAAATTTCATGCAAAAATTCATTCGGGAAGACCTTCAATTTCGTGGTCAAAGGTCCAGATCTAGGGAAAAATCGATCAAAATCGAGCATTCAAATGCGTTTTTCTGACGATCCGGGAGGGCTATGGAAAATC